TCAAAGGTTCCTCCAGAGGTTGTTAGGAGTTCCTTGAACAATTAGCAATTTCTGCCTGTCAGATAAGTTCCCACTGACACCATTGATCTTTTTAGCTATCTGTAAGAGGGTAATTCTTCCCAATGTCCACAAATGTAAGAAGCATTTTTCCCATTGACCATCACACTAATGTATCATGAGTTGTAGATATAATCATTTTTTAGCAGGGGTTCCCAGAGACCAGAAAGTTATTTCAAGGGCTCCTCTTTGTTGGAAAGATTGACAAAGGTCAGCTTAAAAGAATGCATCAGCAAATCAAGTGTCTACTCTGCTAATCTTCATTGTTGGGGATCAGTCTTCCCGGTCTAAGTGATAACCACAGCTCACTTCTCTGGGTAGAACATCCCACATTCAGAAGACCAATGGATCTGTTCCATTATTTCCAACTTTTTGAGCTGAGAAAGGGGGACACCATTTACCATAAAAATGGCATACCTCTGCCATGCCCCAAATGAGACTGCCTGTAAGAAAAGAATATACAAAAAATGATTGTTTGAACTCACAAGTGCATTTTTTCCACCATTTACTTTACAATGGCTTTTAAAAATAACAAATACAATAATTTAGAGGTTTGATGAAAGGTTTAATGCAGCATACCACTATTGAGAGTAAATAGCACATTTTTTAAATGGGGGTCTATACATCAAACCAAAACGAGGGATAGGCAAGGAGGAGGGAGGAGCAGAGGGATTTGGTTCCTATTGAGAAACTATGATAACCAATTTCTTGTATTATAATTACTATCTGAGGGGCAGAGCCCCTCAGGGTTAGGATTCCTCCTGCAGTGATAGACCAAGATCTAGACCAGGTCTGCTCCAGGCCTCAGACTATTTAAGTGCTCTTCAGCCACTACTGGGCACACCTCCCTCAACACACAAAGCTGAAAGATCTTTCTTCTTGAGTGTGCTAAATGCTGGTTGCTGTTATATTGCCAAAGTTTTAAAAAAATCATATTTATAAAGTGTGGTTTGTACATATATGTATAACTGTGGACAAAATGTGTTGGTACCCTTTCCATAAAAAAGAAAAACCCACAAACTTCTCTGAAATTACTTAAAATTGAAAAAAGTAATTGGCAACCGTAATTGCTTGTTATACATATTTCATCAAAATCATACTTTGGAAAAACACTGCAAACATATGATTTATGTAGATGCCAGGGATTTTGTGCATGTCAACAGGTAGTTTTACCCACTCTTCTTCAGCAAATTCATCCATCTATCCTATGTTTGTACAGTAGGGTGCCTTCTCAAGACTGCAAGTTTCAGCTCTTTCGAAAGATGTTCGATAGGATTACGGACAGTCCAATGTTTTGTTCTTAGCCATTCTTGGGTACTTCTAGCTGTGTGTTTTAAGTCATTATCCTATTCTAGGACTCATGACCGGTGACTGAAGCAGAGCTTTCTGACACTGGGCAGTACATTTCTTTCCAAATTTCCTCGATAGACTTGAGATTTTTTAATTTCCCGCCAGGGGCGGACTGACAACTCATGGGGCCCCCGGGCAATAGGGGATCATGGGGCCCCTGTGTCCACACCCAAAAAAGCCAATGAAAAAGCCAATGAAAGGTACCAGGGGCATGTCATGGGGCCCTCTACTGGGCCCGGGCCCTAGGGCAGTGCCCGAGTACTTGAATGGTCAATCCGCCCCTGTTCCCCGCACAGATTCAAGGCACCCATGACACATGCAGAAGAGCAGCAGCAAAACATAGTAGGTATGGTGTTGGCAGTCAGGAGAGGTAAAGGCTAAGTTCACATATTTGAAATTTCTGATGATTTTTCAACAATATTTGTCTGTTTTCATACATTTGTCCTAATATGCTTTGTTTGAATTGCCCAGATATTATCATATTAACAGTATATGATTATTATATTTGCTTGCAATGCTTCTTTAAGAATTATGGGTAACTATGCCACCCATGTCCTATTCATGTGGGCTTACTTAATAGACCAGTTAAAGCATGAAAAGCTGTATCTGCATAGGGGATCAGTCAGGAATCTGACATATATAGACAGTTACTTGCTGCATGTGGCTCTAAACCTCAAGAGTAATACATAACACTATTATAGACTTAGCCTAATTGTATAAATGGATCCAAAGAAGCCTTTTATATTCTTTCCTGTGGTCTTTAAGCATTTAAATTGGTCTTTTAGTTGTTAGATCCAGGACACCAATTAAAATTATTTACACGCTCATACAGATGTCTTGTTAATCTTCATAAAATGATTTCAAATGTCGCAGACATATGTTAGAGATGTTAGGTGGATAAGGGGTCTATTTCACAATCCTAATTTTCTCTTCGTATGATCAAGAAGTCTTTCATGGTACTTTATGTGCCTAATGGAGATGTTTAGTAACAGCTATTCCTTTGTTCTTCTTTAATATCTAATCCTAAGGATAACTTTTACTTCTGTATCATAATAGATAAAATTAAGGAACGAAAGCTTCTCTCCGATCTGCCGCCTCTAGTGACAGCAAGGCGGAGATTTTCTCCCTGAACTAAATGTCACCCAGCCGCATCATTCATTCACAGAGTTACTGTGAATGGGAAAACAACAACTATATGTAAATTTCAATGAACTTACAGAGAGCTGATGAGTTTTCTAGGTAGTTCATTGATGGTTCCTGTCATTGGGCAACTGACAGTCTGCAGGAGCATGGCATTGCACCTGCGATATGCAGATCCTGGGTGCAATGCTTTACAAGCTCCTAATAAAAATAATTAAATGCGCATTTTTTACTTGCTAAAAAGATGTGCATTTATTTTTATTTTTTTTTTAAAGGTGAACTTATCCTCTAAGGATGCCTAAAACAGTAGTAAACTTTGCTTGTTCCTACTGTTTAATGTCATCAGTTATTTTAGGCTTAAAGCAGTAATACATCCCCATATTAAAAGCTATCTGTACTTTTAAATACATATAATCTCTTTATGAAATCCATTAAAGTTCAGGTAATCTGTTTTGAAAACATAATGTAACCTTTATTAATTTTTTAGAAACATCATAGTTCAGGTGCAGCGCTCCCTAAACTTCAGTTCAGGAAAGTGTGCACACTTGCTCTCATTCATGGTCACTGGTGGGACTAAGATCCTACATTTCCATTTGCATGCATTGCTGATGCACATGAATTTCAGATCATTTCTGCAGGTCCCTCTGCCCTCATGCCAGTCAAAGTCAAGTGGGCAGGTCACATGTTCTCCGCAGGATAGTCACTGTGCTGCCAATGCATTTCTATGTACAGAGTGACATGTCGTTGATCTGTATTCCATGTATGTGAGCATGTTGCAGTGGCTGCATAGGGCCCCCAGTGAATGGAGGCACCGTAAAGGAGGATGTCAGGCTATAAATGAATAAGATCAATTGTGATATCTACAGATGACAGTTAAAACAAAATGAATAAAGTCATGGATGTAACATTGGCTATGTTTTAATAACTGGGTTTGATAACACTAAAGTAAACTTTAGTATAAAACTCCAGCGTACAGTAATTTTTTCAGTTAATGCAATTCAGATGACCCCTATTTTACCATAATTTGGTGTTAAAAGTGCTTTTTACAACTATACAATTTTCACCATGGTCACTAACCTTAAAGAGTAATTCCACTTTTGTTGAGAACAAAAACTACTATGGGTGATCTACTCTATGTACATTGCAGGGATTTAACAAACTTTGTAGCAGAGTCCTACCTTTTGTTGCTGTGAAGAAATAGCCCTTTGTTTCACCAGAATGATCACATACTCACTCTGAATGGGAGGGTCTGGTTCATTAATAATCAGCTGATACAATTTCTGGGTTCTAAAGAGTACAGCTGCAATGTGTGTATCCCTTTAGAAGTGATTAACCCTTGGGGAGTATCTTAGCAAATTTTACATTTTTATTGCTGTTGTTGTCTAAAACAGCCTCTCTCAACAGGGGTGCCGTGGCATCCTGGGGTACCAGCTGAGGTAATCAGGGTTGCCGCAGCATCCTGGATGAAAAAGGTTGTCAGATTTGAACCAAGCTCTTGCTCTTCGTCCAAACTGTACTTTGGAAGAAAGGGAGCTCAGTGAGGACAGAGATGTGAAGAGCAGTGAAAGAGGAGGCGGCTTCCTGAGCCCAGATCTCTCTGGCTCCCCCAGCAGTGCAGTACTTGACAGATACAGTACTGCAGATTGTAAAAAGGCTGTGTGTATGTATGTGTGTGTGTGAGTGTATATGACTCTGGCTGCTGCCTCTGCAGCTAAAGGGGGAGCAGCTGTGGGTGATAAAAATATGGCTCAATCATGTGGTTTTACCATCCCCCGCCTCATGTATGAATGAACCCATGCTTCACATCTGTGTGGCTACTTGCTGCATGTAAGGCAACCTATTAATTGCAATGGTCTGCCCTACCTGCAGAAATGCAGGAAAAGAAATCCCCAACCTTTTTTAAAATGACACTGCATCAAAAATGCACTACATTTGCACGTGGGGGTACTATCAATAAATCTTGGCACCCATGTGCATCTGCTAAAGACTGTTTGCATGTCGGGAACTTTTTTGTGCATGTTCCTGACATGCAGTATTGTGAAACAAGCCTTAGACTGGGGTGCCTTGAGACTGAAAATACTTTTCTAACTTGAAAAAGGTTGAGAAACACTGGTCTGGTCTAAAATCTGACTTATCTTAGTATAGACTTGTGGGAAACTCAGTGAGACAAGCAGGAAATGACATTTTTGGAGGTGTTCTGTGCATCAGTTGTATACAGAACCCCTCCAGATTGCCATATTTCATTCAATTTTACAGAAAATTACAGCGCTGCAGATTGAAAATGAAAGGTCATATTTGAAAACATTACATTACAACATGGCTTGTGTAGCTATTGTATACGTTATATTTTTTTGCATAAAAGTGGAGTTACCCTTTACAATATACCTGTACATTTTGTACTGTAGTTTTTATGCTTAATTTATGTAAAATAACAACTTTTCTTGTCTCCTAGGATGATCCGCTTGGTTTATGCAGTGGGACCAATGTTCCTTCTCTTCGGGCTCCTATTACCCAATATTGAAGGGAATAAAAAGGTTCGTGGATCCCAAGGAGCGATCCCTCCACCAGACAAAGGGCAGGCAAATGACTCTGAACAAAGTCAGACACATCCAGGTAGTCGAAATGGAGGAAAAGGTAAAGGACAAGCTCTAGCGGCTGAGGAGGTGCTGGAGTCCAGTCAGGAAGCTCTGCATGTTACCGAGAGAAAATATCTGAAGAGGGACTGGTGCAAGACACAGCCACTCAAGCAAACTATTCATGAGGAGGGATGTAACAAACGTACAATCCTCAACCGATTCTGCTATGGGCAATGCAATTCCTTTTACATCCCTAGGCACATTCGTCGGGAGGAGGGTTCCTTTCAATCCTGCTCTTTCTGTAAGCCTAAAAAATTCACCAATATGGTGGTCACACTCAACTGCCCGGAATTACAACCGCCCATGAAGAAGAAAAGAATTACACGCGTCAAGCAGTGTCGCTGTATCTCCATAGATCTGGACTAGATATGACCTGGTTTCTCCAATGCTTGGGACATGATGGACTTTAAAGATGCTTAGTGGCCTGTACATGTGAAGAACATATCATGTTTATCAAACTATGGACATCTGTTAAGACAGCTGGTCTCAGTGCTACTTAAACCTGTTACTCTGCTATGGGAAATATCCACCTTGCTACAGACTATGAACTAAATGCTCTTGTAATGCACACAATGCATCCTTATTTGGAGTATACAAGCCCCTTAGTGCAAATTGCTATGTATACATTGTGTATATATTATTTATTCACACTTAAATGTTTGTGATATACCTAAGAGGGCCACAGGGATTGGACTGTTTCCATCTGCCAATAGTTAGTTTCTGAATGATCTGTATGGATAATCCGGTGATGTTTTTTCAAATCACACCATATACTGAAGCATAATTCCATTACATGTAATAAAATTTTATGAAATTGGTCATCTTTAAAGGAGCTAAAATACCGGTATATCTTTTTGCATGACAATGCACAGAAACAGACAGGGTTACAAGACTTACTTTATATCGGAAAATATCATTACTAAACTCAAAGTGCTTCATGGAAAAAAATATTGGTGAATCAACTGACTTAGGTTACTGAAGTATTCCTGTGCACATCTTTCAAATGGCCCAATTTTGTGATCTTGAAATATTTAAAAGGAATTTTAGTACTGGATCATTCTGATTTGGCATGCAGCAACTCTAGGTGAAACCTGGTATCATAGATGACCCATGCCATTATTATGGCATTATATTGCCATGTCTGCTAAGGCTGTGGGAACCTTTATTGCCTGTTTGGTGCTAAATAGGTTCACTTACAACTTTGGTAAACATTTGCCAAGTAAATCTGGACTGTAACTTAACAAATTCAATTTTTTAAGGGCTAGTACACCCAATGAATGGGTGGCCTTGAAGCAAAAAGCTTATGTTAAGTGTACTGCAACAGACCTTCTTGGTGTAAATAAGCCCACAGACTCTGTACATACTTATATTATCAAGAGCAAAAGGCATGCAAATCTGTCCCCAGGATCTAACAGTAAGGACATCTTTGTGCTTAAATAAACTGATACAGAGCGGGATAGTGATTCATTTTGTTCTCTATTAGGGGTAAGCATAATTAAACTCCGGAAAGGCTTAAGAGGTGTTACAAAACCCTGACCTGTAGAACTGCAGACTCTGTAATAGTTTTTTATCTACCAGATTGGAAGTGGCCAATGCACTTTTTATTGACTTTATTTTATTTATTACAGATACTTACATAGCACCATCAATTTATGCAGCGCTTTACATATATATTGTACATTCACTTCAGTCCCTAACCCTCAAGGGGCGTACAATCTGTGGTCCCTAACTCACATTCATACATACACATACTAGGGCCAATTTTAGACAGGATCCAATTTACCTACCAGCATGTCTTTGGGGTGTGGGAGGAAACCCACGCAGGAACAGGGAGAACATGCAAACTCCAGGCAGGAGGTGCCCTGGCTGGGATTCGAACCACCGACCGTAGTACTGCCAGGCGGAAGTGCTAACCATTTAGTCACTGTGCTGCCCAGTGTTTTACTTGGTTTGCAGATTGTACCTGACTTTTCTTGCCAGGCTGACCAGGCAACATTCTCCAGATATCTGCAGAGTCAACCAAAGCTCTACTATTACGAACTCTGAGTCCAAGCGATATCTGAAAGCTTTCCTACAGCTCAGCATTACCTGGCAAAACATTTACAGTACAACCTATAAAGTTAATCTGTTTTATGTGCTGTAATCAGAAAGTATTAGAATATGATACTTGTAATATTACATACCACTGTGTGTACCATAACCAGGGACAGTTAAAAGATCTACCAGTGTAGGCCAGACTTAGGCATCCCCTAAAGGAGATGAAGTGGTTTTATTGGGCTCTTCTCAAGCTCTCCACTTGGCTTGGCCAGATGTTGTGTTCCCTTTGATCTGAACAACACGTCAGGGCTCAGACAATAAGATTGGTTTACAATTTATTGTGCCTTTGATTCCTGCACACTGATGAGTTTTAAATTTGTTACCCAGCACGCTGGCCGCACGAGGAGGGACCACAGAGGGAAAAAAAGCCTGGAGGCAACAGGCAAAGGAGTCTCTGATTTCAAACTCTGACTTAAAGGACAAATCAAAAGCAAGACTGAATAGGATTTCACATGATGACTGCTTTTCCAACTACAAACATATTCAAAGCTGGACATACAAGGGCAGGTGAACTCTATTTATATAACATAGAGCTTACTGAATATAGTTATAATTTTTAAACAGCATGCTGGAACCCTCCTTTTTTTCTTTATACAAACAAAATATAATAAACAATATTCCTTCCCTTAGTAGCTGGAGTCAATCTGTTCTCCTCACAGAAAGAAATGGTACTGATAGAAGTGACCAGTGATTCCAACCAAAATACCAATATTGCACTATATTGGTATTTTGTGTGAAATCGTGTGGGACTACCACTAAAGTTCCAGACACAAGGAGACACAGAGCTGAAGTGAATCTGAGAATAATTGATTGGACATACACCAAGTATATGAAGGGTGAGGGTACATAAAGAAGAACACTGGTGAACAAATACACATATGGTTATTTAAGTGTGAGCACATTGGACAGGATTTCAAGCATGGTGTACTGAGCATACTACACTATATTAGATTTCTTTTTTTTGGAGATCACTGTATAGGAAGATTGAATTCACAGGAAGTTGATGTATGTATGACGTCTGATCTTCGGTTATACAGAGACAATATTGAACGTATTATTTTGAGAGAGATAGTCACTTCTAGCATTACTGAATACACACTGCTCAAAAAAATTAAAGGAACACTTTAAAAACACATCAGATCTCAATGGGGAAAAAAATCTCATGCTGGATATCTATACTGATATGGACAGGGCAATGTGTTAGGAATGTAAGGATGCCCTATCATTTGATAGAAATGAAAATTATCAACCTACAGAGGACTAAATTCAAAGACACCCCAAAAATCAAAGTGAAAAAATGATGCAGCAGGCTAGTCTACTTTGTTGAAATTTCATTGCAGCAACTCAAAATGGTAGTTTGTATGGCCCCCACGTGCTTGTATGCATGCCTGACAACATCAGGGCATGCTCCTTATGAGACGACGGATGGTGTCCTGGGGTATTTCCTCCCAGATCTGGACCAGGGCATCACTGAGTTCCTGGACAGTCTGAGGTGCAACCTGGTGGCTTCGGATGGACCAAAACATGATATTCCAGAGGTGTTCTATTGGATTTAGGTCAGGTGAGCGTGGTGGCCATTCAATGGTATCAATTCCTTCATCCTCCAGGAACTGCCTGCATACTCTCGCCACATGGGGACGGGCATTGTCGTGCACCAGGAGGAACCCAGGACCCACTGCACCAGTGTAAGGTCTGACAAAGGGTCCAAGGATTTCATCCCGATACCTAATGGCAATCAGGGTGCCATTGTCTAGCCTGTAGAGGTCTGTGCGTCTCTCCATGGATATTCCTCCCCAGACCATCACTGACCCACCAATAAAATGGTCATGCTGAATGATGTTACAGGCAGCATAACGTTCTCCACGGCTTCTCCAGACCCCCACGTCTGTCACAAGTGCTCAGGGTGAACCTGCTCTCATTGTGAAAAACACAGGGCACCAGTGGCAGACCTGCCAATTCTGGTGTTCAATGGCAAATGCCAATTTAGCTTTATATGGTGCCGTTCAGTGAGCACAGGGCCCACTAGAGGATGTTGGGCCCTCAGGCAACCCTCATGAAGTCTGTTTCTGATTGTTTAGTCAGAGACATGAATTCATTTTGTAGGGCTCTGGCTGTGCTCATCCTGTTCCAAAGGAGCAGATACCAGTCCTGCTGATGGATTAAGGACCCTCTACGGCCCTGTCCAGCTCTCCTAGAGTAACTGCCTGTCTCCTGGAATCTCTTCTATGCTCTTGAGACTGTGCTGAGAGACACAGCAAACCTTCTGGCAATGACACGTATTGATGTGAGATCCTGGAGGAGTTGGACTGCCTGTGCAACCTCTGTAGGGTCCAGGTATCGCCTCATGCTACCAGTAGTGACACTGACCCTAGCCAAATGCAAAACTAGTGAAAAACAGTCAGAAAAGATGAGTAGGGAAAGAAATGTCAGTGGCCTCCACTTGTAAAACCATTCCTGTTTTGGGGGCTCTCATTGTTGCCCATCTAGTGTACCTGTTAATTTCATTAACACCACAGCTGCTGAAACTGATTAACAACCCCCTCTGCTACATAACCAACCAGATCAATTTCCCAGGAGTTTAATTGACTCCATGCTATACGCTGATTAAAAAAGTTTTCCTTTAATTTTTTCGAGTAGTGTAGTTGCTTGCATTTAAACAACACATATGAAGATATGATTTGTGAATGAATTCACTTAAAAAGTGCTTTCAAACCAAAAATATTTTTATTTTGTCTGTTGTTATTACTGCCTTTGTTCCCACTGGGTAGATTCACCCTGGCCCTTGATCTTCGTGACCATTGACCCTAGTACAGAGAGTAATGGGAATTTCAAAATTTTTCGGAAAAAAAAAAGTCCCTCTGCAGGTTAACCACTTGCCTACTGGGCACTTTTACCCCCTTTATTCCCAGACCAATTTTCAGCTTTCAATGCTCTCACACTTTGAAAGACAATTACACAGTCAAGCAACACTGTATCTATATGATATTTTTATAATTTTTTTTACACAAATATAGCTTTCTTTTGGTGGTATTTAATCGCCACTGGGTGTTTTTTTTGCACTATAATCAAAAACACAGCAAAAAAAAAAAAAAAAGGCTTTTCTTTGTTTCTATTATAGAATTTAGCAAACAGGTAATTTTTCTCCTTCACTGATGTGCGTTGATGAGACTGCACTGATATGCAGCAATGATGGGCACTGGTGGGAGGCACTGCTGGCCACTGATCATCAGTGCGCTGATGATCACTGCCAATCTGCTCTGTGATAGTTG